TGGTGCTAAAATGGCAGGCTGAAATGAGACAATGAAGGTAGGAACAGCTACATGCTCAACATTATCCACTAATGGCACAAGAATAATGACAATGTTTATCACCTACAGAACACAATGCTAAGTATCTTATAAAGATTACTTCACTGAATACTTAACAATAGCCATAGGAGGTGGCTGTCATTTTGGTCCCCATTTTACAGATGAAGAAAATGAGACGCAGAGAGGATAAAGCCACAGCCAGTACATGGCAGAGGCAGGATTTGAACCAGCCTCATTGCTATTGTTCTGATTAGCAGCATGGAAGTCAGTGAGGCTAATGTTAACTCAAGTTTTGGATTTTGTTTGCTTCTTTTTGCCTCCATTAAAATCTGATGCTTTGAAATGTTGAATCAGACCGGGACCCTGTCCAGATTTGCGGGTCAGGTAGGCGTCTCTGGTTGGAGGCAGGGCTGGCCCATTCCAGATAAGCGCACTGGTGACTCACTGGTCAAGCACAACCGTGGAAATCCTGTAGGGGTCGCTATGAGTGGGAATTGACTTAGCGGCACTGGGCTAATTTTGTCAAGATGCAGATTTCTCCACTACATTTTCTTTGCTCTAGGTGTTTCTGGTCTCTGCATGTTTGTGTCTGTGAGAGAAGGAGAGCAGGGCTGGGTAAAGGACAGAGAAAGGAAACTCCCAGGAACCGATTGAATATACACAAGCAAGCCCTTGCCTGTGATTGTAAATCAGAAACTAAAATTGCAAACTTCTTTGAAGTTGTCCACAACCTGCTCTGTGGCCACCTGTTCCGCTGGGGCCGGGAGTTGGATGGCCAAGCTCTGCTGAGATGGCTCAAGCTGTCACTGTACCAGAATGTTCCAGCTTGCTGTGGCCTGGCTGTCATCGCTGGCTATGTCCCACTCAGGCACTTCACCAGGCTCTGCCGGGCACCAGGCTTCCAATTAGAGAGAAGTCCCACTGTGTGGCCAGCCCCACCAGTGCCACTCTGAGCGGCCCCTTTGCCAAGGCCCGGGCTGACCTCTGACCTGTCACAGATGGGCCCACCCCACGCTCTTTGTGCACATTTGGAAGAGGGGAGTGGGGACGAAGAAGAAAGCCCACGGGGCGCCACAGTGGGCAGTGGGCAGAAGTGCAGTTCCTCAGAGCTCCGGGAGGCTAGGCAGAGCTGACAGGACCCAAATGCTAAAGTTGTGGAGGGACAGGGGCCCCCAAAGTCGGCATGGGTCATTCCTTACCAACTTCTGAATATTCATCTCAGGCTGGACTCCAAGCCCGAGGAGAGCCAGAGGCAGCAAGCTGGCTCACTCCAAAACTGTCACAAGGCTGATGGCATGAGACACTACCAGTTTCCTTCTGCCGCTCTGCGGGCCTGCGCATCCCAGCACCTGGGAGCCCAGCTCGCCCTCTGCAACTCAGACTCCAGCAGGAGTAGAAAAGAAAGCCAACTTCCTGTTAGCAGAACAAGTAGAATCTTAGAACCGGGACACGTAAGAGAAGTTTGGAAAGCTGCATTCTCATTACAGGGTGATGTTATTTTGGGAGTGGGGGTACATATCTGTTTATTGCCCCTACTAGCAATTTCTCTGAAACCTTTTTTTTGGTGCTGTGTTATTCTCTTGCTCTACCTCTCTGTTTCTTTCTGCCTTGTTTTCTATGTCTCTGTTTCTCTTGTATATTTCCTCTCTTTCCAGGTACAACCTCTGCCTACTCTATAACCGGAAGTAACAATAAAGATGCCCAGCTTGGAGCTGACATTTACAGACCTTAGTTTACTTGACTGGGGCATCTCAAAGCCTTAATCATGACTAACCTACAAGTGGCAAGGGTCTTCCCAGCCGATCTTGGGATAATTCTATTCTTTTAAAAAGAAACTTGATGAGTTCAGTTCCTGGAAATGGGATGAGGGGTTCCTTCATTCTCCTTGCTGGGACCTTTCTTGCTTTTGACATTTACAGTTGGTTTGGGGAATTCCAGGGCTGCCTGGCTCCCACAAAGCTTTTTTTTTTTTTTTCTCTTTGCCTCATCCCTCCACTGCTCTGATTGGTTAAACCTAACAAAACCCCACCAAATAGCTGGTGACACTCATTTGAAGAAGAAAATGTTGCTTTGGGGTGTGAAGTAGTTCCTGGGAGAAAATGGGTACCTTAAGCAAGTTACTATAATTAAGCCATGCTCTGTCTCTCCGGTTCTGTATTTGCAGGACTTTGTTAAACTAACAGAGGAAGCAAACTTGTACCTCCTCATACCTCTGTGATTACACTTAAAGGGTTCAAAGAAGAACTGGCATTGTTTGTGATATTACGAAGGGGCCTTGGTGGTGCAGTGGATTGACCAGTGGGCTGCTAACAGAAGGGGTGACAGTTGGAACCCACCAGTCATTCCCATAAAGATTTACATCCTCACAAACCCTGTGGAGCAATTTGCTTTGTCCGATAGAGTTTCTATAAGTCAGAATCAACACAACAGCAGTGAGTTTATTGTATTACGACTTGGCAAATGCAGCCACTGCCCTTTGATACAGTGTTGGGGAGCCAGGTCATGTCACTCATGTAAAATGCCTTTCAGGTTCAGCCAGGACTGCAGAGGTAGCTCTCTTGAGTTAATGAGTACCTGAGCCTTCCTGGAGTCAGAAGAGGGCGCTTATGGTGACATCTCCTTCAGGGCACCACACATCCTCAATTCCTGTCTCTAGCGACACCAGGTTCATCTCTTCCTTCCTCCTTCCTCCTTCCTCTTTCCTCTCCCAAATGTTGCCTAAGGATCAACTCTCATTTCTTTACATTTCCACTTGGAGATCCACTCCAGGGAGTCACCAAAGACTTCTTAGGAAATTGCCGATGTCTGCTGATGTCGGTTGCTGTTGAGTCAATTCCAGCTCATGGTGACCCGGTACACAGCAGGTCCTCACCATCGTTCCTGTGTTTGTATCAGTCCATCTCATAGAGGGTCTTCGACTGTTTTGCTGACCCTCTACTTTACCAATGGAGTCTTGGTGTGGTGCTGTGAGTTAATGCTCTAGATTGCAAAGTCGGTTTGAATGGAAAGGTTGGTGGTTCAAGCTCACCAACCACTCCTGGGAAACCCTATATAGGGTCGCTATGGGTCAGAACTGACTCAACGGTACTTAACAACAACAACAACAATGATTACTTTACCAACTATCATGCCCTTTTCCAGGGACTAGTCCCTCCTGATTACTTTCCGAAGTACATGAGATGAAGTTTCAATCTCTTCACTTCTAAGGAACATTCTGAATGTACTTCATCCAAGACAAATTTCTTCCTTCTTCATGATATATTTAGTATTTTTTTGCCAATACTATAAACCAAAGGCAACAATTGTTCCTTATTCATTGTCCATCTTTTGTATACATATAAAGAAATTGAAACTACTATGACTTGGCTCAGCTGCACCCTAGCCCTCTGCTTTTTAACACATTAAAGATTTTGTTTGTTTTTATCAAGAACTGAGTGAAAAAGTTTACATGGGAGAACATTGGCTTTACACCATCGTTTCATTGCGATGATTACAATCTCCTCCGTGTATCATCATTCAACACTATTTGCTTCCATTCCCTGTTTTTGTTTTTTTGAGGGGGGAGGTAAAGGGATGTACACAGTAACACTCAGGAATATATAATAATTTAAACAACCAAAGGGCACATTCTACAGGCCTACCTCCTGACCGCCAGTCCCCAGTCCCTCTCTTTCCATGAGTCCAGAGCCCTTAGCTGCTCTCTCTCTCTCCGTGTTCTCATCTCTGCCTCCATCTCTGGTGTTGCTGTTTCTCTGGATAGGGTCCCGCACTCTGCTTGTGCTCGTCTCTCTTGATGGCCCTAGGGTCCTCTGTTTCTGGACTGTAAGATTAACTACTTCCCTGTTTTTGTTAACAAAACTTCTACTTTTACAGTTGTGACAGTTGCAATTAGTCATGATAACAGTTTCTCACTATTGAATCATAAGAATCTCTTTTCACCAGACCCATATAGACAAGACGAAAACTATTCAGTGGGGACTCTACCTTCCACCACATACTCTGAAACTAAATCCCTCTTGAAAAATTGTAAGGCAGTCACTTCATGCCTTTAGCAGCCCCTCATTTTAGACAGCCAATGTCTAAGTTACCCATCCCTATCTGCCCTGTGTACAGAGGAGGTAGGATTAATACTTGATGAAGACTCCTTCCCTCTCAGTTGGTATTTTGAGCTACTACATCCATAAGTATAGGTCAAGTTCATCCAATTGTAGAAATTTACACTTGTTTCCTTTATCAAAAATTGTTTTTTGGTTTTTTTTTTTTTTATCTTCCTTTAGTCGAGTTCTGCTTAATCAAGTCATCAAGGCTAGGTCAAATGGTTACTATCTGCAAGTTTGGGCATTCTTATGTGTCTCCCCTTACTTCATATCAGCTGGATGCTATACTCTAGCCCTCTGTGGCTATGTCCTTGTCCATGGGCTCAGGTGTCCCCAGGTCTCACCACACTTTGGACCAACCAGCCCTTCCTCTTCTCTCTCTCATCTCCAGGTCAATGGGAGTCTATGGATTGTGGTTGAACTCAGCCCATTTCTTCATCGCTGCCTTTCCCCCTCTTCCACTCACCAGCAAGCTTACATGCCTGCCAATGTGTTCCCTTTTAGTTTCAGTCTTGGAAGGGGGTTTGTCCTGAAGGAACTTGATTGCTTGCTGTGGTGGCGTCTAAAGATGTTTTCTGTGGCAGATTTACCCAATGCGATACATTATTTGACTTCTTGACCGCTGCTTCCATAGGTATTGAGTATGGATCCAAGTATAATGAAGTTATTTGACAACTTCACTTTTTCTCCATTTATTTTGATATGATTTATTGGTCTAGTTGTGGGGGTCACTGTGTGACTGTCTATTCTAACCCTCAGCCTGTGCCCCCCTGGCTGACATGCGGAAGGTGAGTAATAGATAGAAAGGCAGACGAGGGTCCCATTAGTGCTGCTGATGGTTTTGCTGCTCGCCTCTCTCTGCAGACATTCCTGTTATTCCGGACCTGGAGGAAGTACAGGAAGAAGACTTCGTTTTGCAGGTGGCAGCCCCTCCCAGGTAGGTGAATGACAGGTGAGTGAAGCTGGCAGAGAGGCTGCAACATGACCCTTTGAGCACCACCCACGGTGGGGGGGGGGTGGGGGGGGGGATGGGGCCACGTGTCTCCTTTGGGAAGCGTTTTCTTCTCATTTGTGCTACTTCCTTTCACTGTCTCCTTCCTGCAGCATTCAGGTCAACCGGGTGATGACCTACCGTGACCTAGACAATGACCTCATGAAGTACTCGGCCTTCCAGACCTTGGTGAGTGGACCAGCTTCCACACAAGCTCCAATAGCAGCCATAGAAAGACCCCAGTTTACCGGAAGTGATAAAACGCCTCCTCCATGGGTCCCTGATGCTGCCTGACAACAGTCCCTTCGCTGGAGGCATGCTCCCCTCAGTATCTTTGTTTCCCTGGACCTAACGTTTTCCAGTGCCAGGTCCCTGCTTCCCTCAGCTGTTCATCTGGCACCTGATGCTGTACCTCTCCACTCTGCCTTTCTGGTGTGGCCACGGGCCTGCTCACTGCGTTCCTCGGTTGCTTAGGCATGTCGGCAGGTCTGGGTTTGGGATGCTCCAGAGCTCCCCACCGGATCCTCTTAGCTTTGCATGAGGTGCCTGTGCCTAGAGGCTCCCTTTGCATCCACAGGATGGAGAGATCGACCTGAAGCTGCTCACCAAAGTCCTTGCACCGGAGCACGACGTTCGAGAGGTACGCCGGGGGCGGCAGCAGCTCCTCATTCCCTCACTGGCTGGCCCACAGGCTAACCTGGGCCTCTCCTCTCTGAGGCCAGGGTGAGAGTGGGGAGGTGGCTGTGATTGAGGGCAAAGGCCTTTCTTTGTCTTACCCAGCGGTACCCCTCTTGGCAGGATGATGTCAGCTGGGACTGGGACCATCTGTATACGGAGGTGTCCTCAGAGCTCCTCATGGAATGGGACCAGCTGCAGATGGAGAAGGAGGAGGCTGTGGGGCAGCCCAGGCACCCCTGAGCCCCAAGAGAACGGCACATCGGGCTCCCTACACAGAGAAACCTCTGCCTCAGACAGGAGGAAATACCAGCCTAACTCGGAAGACGCTTGCAGGCAGCACAGAATTCCCATCCAGGTTATTTTGTAAGGAAGGTATTCTCAGTAGACCACATTGGCTCATTCAGTTCTAATAAAGTGCTTTCTACCCGGAGGCTGTCTGTTGCTTTTCTTTCCAGCACGCTGTCTGTGGAAAGGGCCATCATGAAGTTGGAGGGGAGTGTCCACACTGTTGAAGAGCAGGACGTGGTTAGAGTCTGGAGAAGGAATGGGATGTAATTCCCTTCCCGCATGGGGCCACAGCATCCCGGCTGGAGTGTGGGTACAGGAGGTTCTGACACCTGCCCACAGGTCCTGGGAAGGCCTGGAGGGAGGCTTTCTTGCTGCGAACACCCAGTTAAACCCCGGATGGTACACTGCTTCCTCCAGCTGAGAAGGGAGCATCATGTGGGTGTCATACATGATCCACTCTTCACACAGGGCTTGCTGGCTCTTCTGACAGCCCTCCCTTCCTCTCTCACTGCAACCCCACCTTGGATTCTAAAATGACGTTCCTAGAACCTCATCTCTGAGTCTCATGAGAAGGGGTCAGCTCAGCAGCGTCCCCCCAGACATCCACAGCAGCCTTCTGGAGGGCCAGGGCCCCTGTCCTTCTCTGCACTGTTTTCCAGACCCACTGACCTTTCAGATATAGAACTGCTTGTCTCCACTGCTCCCAAAGGCATCGAGCCCATCCCTGTTTCTAAACAGACAGAGCTTTGGTTACTATTTTTCTCTCCTCCAGACCTCGAGGACAGGGACCTGTCCCCGCGCCCCTCCCCTAGATTCTGCTTTGGACCAAGCCTGGGCAGGTGAGCTGCTAACAAAACCCTACTCCTCACCCAACCCAGCTGCTGGAGGAGCTCGGACCATCTCTGGTCCAGCCTGGAAAGCCCTTCATGAAAATCCAGAAAAACAGGCTCACCACATCCAACACCCACTGGGGGAGATTTTCCTGAGACTGTAGCACACTTCCTTGGTGAATGGGCAGAGAGGACGCACATGTGATCATTAGAAACTCCAGATTCAGTGGCTTTGGGGTCTCTCTTCCAGAGTCACACTCAGACCAGACAGCCCCTCTTTGGAATAATCCCACAGCCCTGGAGAAGTGTCCATCCAGACTGGATTATCTTGAGCCTACATCATCCTGGGAGTCCTGGTGTGGCGCTGTGGGATAATGCACTGGACCGTAAGGTCAGTTTGAACAGAAAGTTTGATGGTTCAAGCTCACCAGCTGCTCCTCGGAAACCCTATCCAGGGCCGTTCTGAATCAGAACTGACTCCATGGAACTTTATAGCAACAGTTACCGGCAAATCCAGTGGTTTGAGGAATCTGACACCCTCAGAGGTCTCCAGCCAGCCTGAGTGAGTGGCGGCAGGCTGCCTACTTCCCTCCCTTTCTTTTATAACAGCAACAAACTCTGCTGTTTACTGTGTGGAGCTGATGCTGTTTTGCGTACCCATTTACAGATGAGCAAAGTGAGACTATGAGAGGTTAGATTATCCAGCTGCCAAGTGACAGACTGGAATTCAACATCAAGTTGTCTGATTCTAGAGTCTGCCCTGTAACATCTATTCTTGCTCCCTCTGGTGCCTTTGCTGAGGAAAGATATCTGGCCTATGTTGTTATTGTGAGCTGTTGAGTCGGGTCGGATCCCTAGTGACTCTGTATTAGGGTTTCTGAGGCTGTAAATCTTTATGAGAGCAGAAAACCTATAGTGGTGCAGGAAATCCATGGATATACAAATGGTGGCGCACTTGAGCAGCTAGCCAAAAGATTACAGGTTTGAGCTCTTCCAGAGGCACCTCAGAATAAAGGGCTGGCAACCTGCTTTGGAAACACCAGCCATTGGAAATCCTGAGGAGCACAGTTGTACTCTGATAATGCATGGGTTCCATGAGTCCGAGTAACAACTGTGTTTTTGTTTTAAAATAATGGGCAGATTTAGACGTGCGCTGACAGTGCCTGCTTGCTCTCCACCAGACCTTGGTCCTGCCCCCTGGTCTTGTCCCAGGAGGTATGGAATGACCACAGAGCAGAGGGCTGGCGTGGGAAGCCTTTCAGTGTGGCCAAGCTTGAGTGTTCTGGGCCGGGGTGCAGCCCGTGGGCCTGTTCAAGAACCAGCTAAACCTGAGTGAGACTCGGGCTCAGGCCTTGTGGGGTCAAGCCTCCTGTTGCCTGTCCTGTGTCCTGGCCACACTCTACCTGGACCACGTCCTTTACTCAGGAGCTGAGCATCACGTGGTTGGAGAACCTGGGGAATCCATGTTCCAGAATCTACATCCACCACTTACTTACGAAGTTCTGGATACCTCAATTTTCTCACTCATATGTACGTTGCCACCAGCTACAGTGCCCACCCTAGACTTCAGGGGGCACCCCAAGGATACAGCAAGAGGTCATGAGCGCATGGACAGCAATGTGGCTTTCTGCAGGGACATGGTGAAGGCATGGGTCCTGAGGCCCTGTGGTATACTGACTGGCTTCTCCAGGACTGCCCATGTCACCTCTGGTCTCCCATAGTGTCTCTGACGTTGGGCCATGGCTTCGGGAATACTGTGCTTAGGTCATACCCTGCTAGGGAAATTCCGACCTTCATGAAATAATCCCGCGCCAGGGTCTGTTACACAGCCACCAGTGAGACAGACAAAACCCCCTCCCTTGTGGCACTTAGATTCTGTCTGGCCCGTGGGCAGATCAAACAAACAGTGTGCCACACACTCATAGAAACTATGGGGAGAGAGATAGCAGGAACAGGGAAGGGAATGTGGGGTGGGCGGGGGCTGCAATTGCACATGGAGGGGCTAGGAGAGCCCTCAGTGAGAAAGCTGAGCTAAGATCTAAAGAAGGTGAAGGACGGGGCAGGATTCCAAGTGGAGGGAGTACTAAGTGTGAAAGCCCGAAAGCTGGGAGGTTGGGGGAATATGCCCGCTGGCTTGAGGAGAAGTAGGAGGTCAGTATGGTGGGGGTAGGGGTGAGGGTGGTAGAGCATGGACTTGTCACAAAAAAAGCCCTCTGAGCACCTGGTGCCTGCCCCCTCCCCTGATGTGGGCACTTTCAGGCCTTCTCCAGCTCACCAGGCAGTCTTTGGAGAACTTGCCTCTGGCTGGAAGAAGTGAAATTGTGTATGCTACAGGGAGAACCAGGGGAACAATGTGCTCTGTCTGCAGCAGCCTGGAGGTTAGGGGCCTGCTGCCAGCTCCTGCCATGCCCAGTGGTGCCAGGTGTGCAGGTCAGACAGAATGGCATTGTCCAGATAGAACCCTCCCTGGGAATTTGTAGATCCTGATGAAAAAAACTCCCAGCAAGGAATCCCTCTAGTAAATGTTACCCTTTCCTCTTGATCGGTTGACCTTTCAGTGGTGAGCGCACCTCACGAGTGCTGTTCCCGCTATCTGTCTGTGGCTCAGTTGAAAATGAAGCCACAAGGGTGGGTACTGTTCTGACCTGAAGATTCATCGTCTTGGGTTCCTCCAGTCTCTTTTTTTTTACCAGTAACCCCAGTCATATAGATATATTTAATTTTGAGTTTGGTTTCACGCTGTCTCCTACTCGATTCAGGACCTTCTGACATGATGTCTTTCAGAGCAGTTGAGAAGGGCTGGGAAGGAGAGGGCAGTGGAAATAAGAACCACAGGGAGGAAATGGTACAACGGTTGTTACATGAAGGGATTGCAGTCATTGAGATGAAGCAAAGTGTCTGATTTATTGATTGTAAAACTGATGATGTGCTTTGTAAACCTTCACTCAATGCACAATGAAAAGTTCCAATAAAAAAAAGAGTAAATGAACTAAAAGAGAAAGGAAGGGAGAAACAAGAGAGAGAAAGAAGAAAGACTGCAAGACTTCTGTATCTGAACTGGAGATCTCTCCATCTCTGATGATTGGCTCACCTTTGCTAAGGCCAAGCCACTTCAGGCTTCTATAACCATGTGCTCTACATGAAAAAGGATGCTACCGCCTGCTGAGTGTGGCTACCATGTACCAATCAGATCAACCTAGACCTCCCCTGCTTAGTGGGCATTCCTGGGAGCATGTGTGCTGGAGACATGCAAGGGTTGTGTTCTCCATGCAAGATAAGGGAACCTACCTTGGCGTCCTTGGAGTCCTGGTGTGACGCTGTGGGTTAATGCGCCAGACTGCAAAGCCGTTTGAACTTAAGGTTGGTGGTCCAAGCACACCAATCACTCCTTGGAAACCCTATGTAGGGTTGCTTTGGGTCGGAACTGACTCAATGGCACTTAACAACAACGACCTTGGCATCCTTACTGGGTTTGCTCAAGCAGCGCTGTCCTTCTGTCCTTGGGACCCAAGAGGCATGGGGAGGTGGTTGGGAGGAGTAGACTTTCCAGGGTTGGCTCTGCCACTTCCGAGCTATGGAACCATGAAGGAGCGACCAGCCTTTTCTGACCCTGTTTTCTTGTCTATACCATGGGTGTAACATTAACATCTTTCTCTAGGTCTGTGAAGCCCATGTTGGTATTAGATGCCAGAGCTGGTTGGGATCAGAAAGCAACCTTAGGAAAACTCAGCGGGTTATCTCAGAGCAGCTGTAGCCTGCAGTCTGGCTATATCACCTGCCCATTTTCAACCATGGAGAGAGGAAAGGGTGGACACTGGGTTCTTTCTCATTTTTTGTAACAGCTGTATTAAGGTGCAGTTTGCATATAATAAAATTCACCCATCATGAGTGTACAATTCAGTGATTGTAGTAAATTTATACAGTTTGGGAACATTTTTCATCATCCTGGTGTGGCGCTGTGGGTTAATGAAGGACATTCCATTGCATGGATGTATTCATTTCCTAGACTTGCTATAACAAAATACCACAAACTGGATAGCTTAAAACAAGAGAAATGTATTTTCTGACAGCTCTGGAGGTCAGAAGGCTGGAGGAAAAGTGTCAACAGGGTCAGGGTTTCTC